GCCGTGCGGCAAGTCTTAGAATCAGGTCTAAATCTTTCTGAGTCCGTTTGCCCTGCTTCTTCTGACGCTCTCTCCTCTGTGCTTGTTCCTGTGCTGTGTTCGCTGCTGTGGTTGGGGTGCCTCCTTGACTGAGGCCCATGCACGCCTCAACAGACGCGGCCATGCGTCGTGTGGCAGGGAGGTGCTCTGGCAGCAGCAATCCGCCCGCTGACGCGCCTTCTGAACTGTCTCACGAACTGGCTCACCAGCACAGTATGGTAAGCTGTTGAGCGGATGTATATAGAGGGGTAAAGCAGTCTAGGACGCCGTGCGGCAAGTCATAGAAATCATTTTTTGCTTATCTCAAGTCCACTTTCTCTGCTGCTGCTGACACTCTCTCCTCTGTGCTTCCTCCTGTGCTGTGTGTGCGGCTCTGGTTCCGGAGCCTGCTTCCCTGACGCCCAAGCATGCGTCAGTGGTCCTGCCTGCCAAAGGGTGGTGCGTCCAGTGAACATCCGCCTTTCTAGCCGTCTCAGGAGCTGGCCGTCTCAGGAACTGCCTCACCACTGCAGAACGGTAAGTCGCTGGGCGGATTTATCCGGGGGACAGAGAGCAGTCTAGGTCGCCGCGCGGCAAGTCATAGAGTGAAGCTTTGCTTCTTTCGAGTCCGCTTGCTCTGCTGATTCTGATGCTCTCTCCTCTGTGCTTCCTCCTGTGTTGTGTTGTGTGCGCTGCTCTGGTCCGACGCTCACATGACTGAGGCCCGTGGACACCCAACACTCCTGCCTGCCAAGGCGTGCATCGCATCCCAAGGAGGTGCTCCGTTAGTAACGACCCGACTGCGGAAGCGTCTCAGAATCTGCCCCAGGGTGGTTCATCCCGGAGAGGGGCTCTGCAAGTGAGGATCCGCCTTCTGAGCCGCTGGCTCAGACACTGGCTCACCAGGGTAGCATGGTCGCTGGGCAAACGTATCACGGGGGGCAGAGCAGTCTAGGTCGCCGCGCGGCAAGTCTAAGACTCGGTTTCTGCTTCGTCCGAGTCCTCTTTCTGTGCTGCTTCTGACGCTCCCCCCCCCTGTGCGTGTTGCTGTGGTGTGTTGACTGAGGCCCATGCACGAGGCAGCAAGCCTTCCCCCCTCGGGGTGGTGCGTCCCAGGGAGGGGAGGGTTCTACGAGTGGGAGAGGATACTCACTCTTCTCTTTGAACCACAAAGGCAATACGGTACGTCGTTGGCCGGGTCTATCGGGGGGTCAGAGCAGTCTAGGTCGCCGTGCGGCAAGTCGTTGACCGGAACTTGATTTCTTCTCAGTCTCTTTTCGCTGCTGATTTTCACGCGCTCTCCTCTGTGCTTGTTCCTGTGTGCTTTTCCTGTGTGCTTCTTCGGCTGTGATCTCTGCTCTGGCTACGGTGCCTCCTTGACTACGGGCTCGACTCTGCTCTGCTCTGCTCTGCTCTGCTCTGCTCTGCTCTGCTCTGCTCTGCTCTGCTCTGCTCTGCTCTGCTCTGCTCTGCTCGGCTCTGCTCGGCTCCGCTCGGCTCATGCGCGTGGACTCGACTCGACTGCGGGATCGATGGGTGGAGGCAGGGGAGGGATCAGCAGCGGGAATGCAGGCGCTACAAGGCAGTATACTGGCTCGCTGTGAAACTGTGCAGTACAGTAAGTCATTCGCAGAATTTATCTGGGGGGGTAAAGGAGTCTAGGTCGCCATGCGGCAAGTCTTAGAATCGAGCTTTGTTCCTTTCGAGTCCGTTCCCGCTGCTGCTGCTGATTCTCTCTCTTCTGTGCTTGTCTCTGTGTTGTGTTGGCTGCTCTGTGTTGGGGAGTCTCCCTGACTGAGGCCCAGGCACGTGCTGACAGTGCGACCCAGGAAGGTGCAGTGCGAGTGAGGAGTGAGGAGTGAGGATCCACCTTCTGAGGGGAATCACAAAATTCGGCTCAACACGGCAGAATGGTAAGTGATTAGGTCATCCCATTGGGAGGGGTAAGGCAGTCTAGGTCGCCGTGCGGCAAGTCTTAGAATCAATCCTTGTTCCTTCTGAGTCCGTTTCCACTGCTGCTGCTGACGAACTCTCCTCTGTGTTATGTTTGCTGCTGTGATTCCGGTGGTGCCTCCTGCCCTGAGGACCATTCACTGAGTCCTGCCAAGGCTTGGTACTTCTCACAACGGTGCTGTGGGATTGATGGTCCGTGCTTCTCACGGTTGGCGCTTCCCAAAGTTGGTGCGAGTGAGGAGTCGTCTCAGAAGCCGGCTCGCCAAGGCAGCACGGTAAGTGATTAGGTCGATCTATTGGGGGGGGTAAGAGCAGTCTAGGTCGCCGTGTGGCAAGTCTTGGAACTGATTTTGTTTCTTCTGAGTCTGCCTACACTGCTGCTGCTGACGAACACTCCTCGGTGCGTGCTGCTGTGTTGCATTCGCTGCTCTGGATCGGGCCTCTCCCTGACTGAGACCTAGGGACGTGTTGACACTGCGACCCAGGAACGTGCAGTGCTGACTGCGTCCCAGGGACGTGAAGTGTGCGGGTCTGCCTTCTGAGGCGTCACAGAGTTTCATTCACAATGGCAGAAGGGTGAGTGGCTGACGGGTTTATCCAGGGGGGGTAAGAGCAGTCTAGGTCGCCGTGCGGCAAGTCTTAGACTCAAATTTTGTTTCTTACAAGTCCAGTTCCTCTGCTGCTTCAGATTAATTTTCCTGTGTGCTGTGTTTGCTGCTGTTTTTCCTATGCCTCCTGCACCGAGGCCTATGCAAAGCACCGAGGCCCATGCAAAGCACTGAGGCCTGCCAAGGCGTGGTGCCTCTCACTCAGAGCGGTGCTGTGCGAGTGAGGATCCGTCTCAGGGACTGGCTTTCCATGTAAGTGATTGGGTGGGCCCATCGGGGGTAAGGGCAGTCTAGGTCGCCGCACGGCAAGTCTTAGAATCAAGTCTTGTTTCTCCTGAGTCCGTTGCCGCTGCTGCTTCTGACGAACTCTTCTCTGCGCTGGTTGCTGTGTTGTATTGGCTGCTCTGACGTGCTTCCCAACGAGAGGACCCGCCTTCCGAGGGATCTTCAAATGGCGTTTTGTGCAACGGCGGAATGGTAAGTGGCTGACGGGTCTATGGGGGGGGGTGAAGCGGTCTAGGTCGCCATGCGGCAAGTCTTAGACTCGATTTTCGTTTCTTCAGAGTCTGTTTTCGTTGCTGCCTCTGACGAACTCTCCTCTGTGTGCTTGTGCTCCGTTGTACTGGTTGCTCTGCTTTGGGGGTCTCCCTGTCCAAGACCCAGGGACGCGAGTGAGGAGTGAGGATAATAATCCGCTTTCTGAGTCGCCTCAGACACTGGCTCAACACGGCAGCACAGTAAGTGGTTGGGCCGGTCTATTGGTTGGGGGGGGGGGGAGAAGAAATGGAGAAACGTGGTCTATCGCTGTTTCTTTCGAATCCACTTTCTCTGCCGCACTCTCCTTTGTGCCCGTCGTTACTGTGCTGTGTTTGCTGCTGTGGTTCCTATGCCTCCCCCCCAGGCCAATGGACCCATCATTAGTTCTTCTCGGAGAGGAACTGAGCGAGGAGGGATCCGCATTCTGAGCCATCTCAGAATATGGCTAGCTTACAGTGACCTCAAGGTAAGTGCTTGGGCGGGTCTGTTGTGGGGTTGAGGGCAGTCTAGGTCGCCGTGCGGCAAGTCTTAGATTCAAGCTTTGTATCGTCCAAGTTCGTTTCTGCTGCAGCTTCTGACGCACTCTCCTGTGTGCTTGTTCCTGTTCTGTGTGCTCTGGTGCGGTGCGGGTGCCTGGTGGGCTGAGAGGTGTGGAATGGGCGTCACAGGGACAGAAAGTGTTGCTCCCGGGGATGGCGCGTTGGAGGGACGCATTGGCGTGGCCTGGGTGAACACTGGCATGCACAGTGAGGGAAGGATTATTTGGAAGTGGACAGGGTGAGTGTTATCCCCATCTCTGTACCCACCCATGCTTGCCATGTTGTGCTGTCAACTATCTCCTTTGCCTTGCCGCCTGCCAAGCTCCTCTCTGCTCGTCCATGTCATGTTCCTGCTCCTTACTTTCACCTCGTTTCCACATGCCTCCAGAGTCAGCTAGAGTATTCCTCCCATCTTTTTTCAAAATCTCCTCACACTTTTCAGTACATCTCTTTGGCATTCGCCCTCCCCACTAACGTTCCCTCTCTGCGTCGCCTTCTGTCCTTCACAGGCCAATGGAAGGCAGCGGGAACAGCAGCAGGAGTAACAGCAGTGGTGATGTTTAGAGGGTCGGCTTAGTAGCCGCGGCAGTAGAGGTGTATGTTCCTACTTAACTTCTCGTCCGTGAGAGTGGTGGTAGGTGAACTAAGGTGAAGGGATGATGAAGCCTGGTAAGGTACCTGTTATGGGAGGTATAAAGATGCTGAGGCATGGTAAGGTATGGTACGGTAAGGTACACCCACCCCAACCAGGACAAAAGAATCACCCAACGAAGGAGTAGTCAGGGGCTGGCAGATATACCCAAGCAGGGAGACGGAGACACACATGTGACCAGAAAGAGACCCACCCAGCCATGTGCAGAAGAACGGTAGCAAAGTTGCACATCATCCCTTCAACTGCAGCTGGTGTCAATGCTAGTGTTGCTTCTACAGCCCTGCATCTTACAGTCCTCCTCAGCTAACTGTGTACACCGCTTGACAGTTGGATCCTGACACCCACAGCACGGGCAAATTGCAGGCTGCGCAATCAGGTTCCCAATCATGTTCAAGCACAGCTTCCATATCTATGACAGGCTCCCTACATGTGCTCCAGCACATAGCTTCATCTGCTCTGTGTTTCAGGTGACCGTGCACAGAGAAGGATGCTACAGAAACCAAATGCGCACACAGACATGCTTCCCCTCTGGTACCACCTCTCCTAGTACCCCCCATCCCACATCCAGCAGAAATCATCCGGCAATAAGTACTGCTATGAGATAGAACGCTACACCAAATAACAATTGCAGCGGTTGACACAGCAATGTAACTCCTCGAACCCGTACATTCTCAATGTTGGTATGATTCACCCTCAGGATTCCTTTATGAGGTTGATGGGATCGCTTAAAACATAGTGAGGTAGCTCGTACTTGGCTCCTGCAGTAGGAAGCAATGCAGAGAGAGAAGAAAAGATAGAAAAGCAAGCAAAAGGGCAACATCAGACTGCAGAGAAGATACGGTATTAGTGCAAGAGCCTGCCAGCCAGCATACTCACATCTCCTGAACTCCCAGTCACCCAGTACCTCGTCCCATCGTCATGACGCACCTCTCTCATCGTAGCACACGGACATGTCTGGTACGTCGACCACCACCCCTGCTGACTCCAATATCACTTGTGCCATGCTTCGGTCCCCCTCTGTGGCCGCCTTCAACGCGTCCCATATCTCTGCCACACGCAGGCAAAGGGTGGCCAAAGGGAGGTGGAAGAAACGTGTTGGGGAGAAAGAGGGGGAAGGTCAAGGGAAATGGCAGTAGTGTGTATTTTTCAATTTAGGCGGGAAGGGAGACGGACGGTGGGAAAGGAAGAGGGGAGAGAGACAGAGATGAAGAAAGCTAATGGGGCTAGAAGCAAGGAGGCGGAGGGGAGGCGGACCTCGTTGGCCGCCGTAGTGTGGCGCCTTGTCCCAGAACTCCTCCCTCATGCGCGCCAGCTGTTGAGGCGCCTCAAAAGAAAAAGAAAGTTGGCAAGCAATAGAGAGGCTACAGGCAAGAAGGATGGAAGGAGGCGGACCTCGTTGGCCGCCGTAGTGCGGCGCCGTGTCCCAGAACTCCTCCCTCATGCGCGCCAGCTCCGCCTGTGACAGCGGCGTTGGGTGCTTCCACGCCTTGGGCTTCACCACCTTCTTGCCTGCGCACACGCGCATGGAGAACCAGTCACGAGGGAGTGTGACGCCGTGGGTTCATACAGCTCAAGGCGCGAATTTGTACACTCTGACAAAACGAACTGGCAGTGGCTAGTTCTGACGCGCTTCGCCCCCCACTCTCATCTCATGGTGCAGCCCGGAACGCACCGTACGGCGAAGGGAGGGCAGGGCACGGGAAGGGGAAAGAGAGAGCAGAGCGGGGGAAGGGGTAGGGGAGAACCCAGTGGGGGAAGGGGTAGGGGAGGACCCAGTGGGGGAAGGGGTAGGGGAGGACCCAGTGGGGGAAGGGGTAGGGGAGGACCCAGTGGGGGAAGGGGTAGGGGAGAAGCCAGTGGGGGAAGGCGAAGCACAGATGGCTCTTTACCTTTAGGGGACTCTTCCTTCGCAGTCGACCCCACGCAGCCCATGAAAATGCCGGATACTAAAAGCGCTCGTCGAAGGTTTAGGAGGGCCGTGTAAAATGCCTATTATAGCCTTATTAGGAGGAAAACAGCAGCGCAGCAACGCAAGCGCGGCGCTACAGCTGGTTCACTACAACCAGCGCTACTCTCAAGTTTAGCTACAGCCGCCAACACGCCCAGGAAGGCTATCTGAGACAGCGGCGGCTACTCTCAAGACTAAAGGCACGAGTTATACCGGAGCGTTAGCACCTTCTCTGTCGGCAGCGGAAAGGCCGGGTCGAAGTCATGGCGCCTCGCACCGCCTTTTTCATGGCAATCTTATGACGACGCTAATCCGTTTCTAGAAGGATGACCTACTGGGTTGTCGTCTAGAAAGATTGCTCGGAGGGAGAACGACGAAGCTGTACACTATAATTAATAATTGCTGAATAATGTTGATGAATTAACTCTACCTACTCCACCTCTTGCTAGGAGCTCCGTCTTTCGCGGCTCACTCTTCCCTAGTTGCTCGTCGTTCGTCCTTCGCCAAGCGCTCGGCACTAGCTGCTCGTCGCTCGCCTCGCGTGATGCTCGTCGCTCAGCGTTCGTCGATTGCTCTTGTATAGTCCCTGTCGTTGCTCGTCGCTCGTAGGTGGTCGCTCGTCGAAGCACGTCAGTCGTCAGTCATAGCTCAATACAAATCTCGTGCATCCTAAACCTGGTCAGAGCCTGCTATTCGCCATGGATGGGCTCTCGCAGAGATATTGTTTCGTCTGCCTTCGCAAATCTGAAAATGCCCCCAACGAACGAACACCTTCAACGGCATGTTACTTTCCGGTTCGTTTTTCGCCCCCAAGCTGGTATGCGACAGTCGTTTCCTGCGAGTGCGAGCGAAGTGTGGTAACAAATTTGCCAAGTCGACCAGCTCATCGTCCAAATGAACCAAGCCAGGAGTGCTGCATCTTGGAAGCTCCACCAACCAACACCATCTGTCTCGGTCGTCTTGACATCGTTTCCTTAGAACCATACCTAAGAGTTCGGAAACACTATAAAAACTTATTTAATCGTATCCCACCGCACTTTAGTTCTGAAGTCCTGACTCCTGGGCGCCTTGAGCGCGACACTGCGAGTTGGGGTCCCCGATAAGTGCCCAGTGTGGTCAGTGTGGTCCGGTGTGGTCAGCCTGTCCCTTGGTGCACAAGTGGCAATTTTCTCGCATAACCATATCCCAAGGTTTCTACACGCGCTCCGAATCTCCAGGTGCATGGTGGTATCGTAGCATTCGACGCTGACGGCTCAGACGCTCTTAGGTAACCGTTAAAAGGAACCGAAAATTGGGGGTGGCCTGAGAATGTGAGTGATCACGGTAGAGGCACTCCACCTTTGCTAGATGCCGCTGTTGGTGCCTCCATGATCCAGAATCGAAGGACAGGTTTCGCTACGTTTCGTTCCTCCACGTTAAGGACAGCTGTCAGCTGTAGTGTGCAGTCATGATTGACCAGGTTACCACGTCGAAGGAGTTTCGCTAACCGCAGGAGCGATGTCATCGCGAGCGAGAGCTGGGAGCCGTCGATCCCAGTACTCTCCTTCGTCAAAATCAGCGGCTACGAACACATTCAGCACACGTGGCGGCAGCAGCGGAAGCGGCGGCGGCGCAGCCGGCCTCCTAGATGGCATCGCGCGGGAGCGACCGCACGTGATAATCGCGTCGTGCGCGGTCTTCGTCTTAATCGCCACTCGGTTCTTCTGGTTCCCCGCGCCTTACCTCGCCAGCAGACTAGTCGAACCCGCGGGTTGCGACTTCGCCGTTTACCTAAACGCCAGAGGAGTTTTAGAAGGCCCTTGGCTGAACGATACCGCTGACTCTACCGATGCCGCGGTCGCCGCCGCAGCCGCCGCCGCCGGGCTCGATTTCACCTCAGGATTGGGCGCAGGCACGGGGGTGCTACTGGGTGACACCGGGCCTAGCAGGCTCGGCGGAGGCGCAGGTTCGGGAGAAAGCGGAGGAGGAGGCTCGGGAGGCGGGGAAGGTACCAGCGCCGGGCAGAATGCGGGGCCGATGTTTTTTTCGGGCAGGAGGCTGCAGGCTATGGGGAAGATGGTGGCGGCGCGGGAGGGGGAGGACGACGGGAAGGTGCCGTGGGCGGTGGTGGTGGAGGGGTTGCTCACCACGGGCGCCTTCAGCACCAGTGACCCCGTGACACTTGCCTTCGCGCGATTGGCCGAGAGGTTCCTGGCGCCGTGGGCGAGAATAGAGGTGTGTCTGAGTCGGGTGGAGTGGGGAAGGGGGTTAAGGGGAGAGGGAAAAGGGGGGAGGGGAGATGGGGGTAAGAGGGGTTTTATTGCGGGGTGTGGGAAAGGGTGGAGGACGGTGTGATTCTGAAGGAGAGGGAGGGGTTATGGGTGTCTCTGTGAGAGGGAGAAACTAGCTCACTGACTGGAGCTCACTGACTGGAGCTCACTGACTGGAGCTCACTGACTGGAGCTCACTGACTGGAGCTCACTGACTGGAGCTCACTGACTGGAGCTCACTGACTGGAGCTCACTGACTGGAGCTCCCTGACTGGAGCTCACTGACTGGAGCTCCCTGACTGGAGCTCCCTGACTGGAGCTCACTGACTGGAGCTCACTGACTGGAGCTCACTGACTGGAGCTCACTGACTGGAGCTCACTGACTGGAGCTCACTGACTGGAGCTCACTGACTGGAGCTCACTGACTGGAGCTCACTGACTGGAGCTCACTGACTGGAGCTCACTGACTGGAGCTCCCTGACTGGAGCTCACTGACTGGAGCTCCCTGACTGGAGCTCACTGACTGGAGCTCACTGACTGGAGCTCACTGACTGGAGCTCACTGACTGGAGCTCCCTGACTGGAGCTCACTGACTGGAGCTCCCTGACTGGAGCTCACTGACTGGAGCTCACTGACTGGAGCTCACTGACTGGAGCTCCCTGACTGGAGCTCACTGACTGGAGCTCACTGACTGGAGCTCCCTGACTGGAGCTCACTGACTGGAGCTCACTGACTGGAGCTCACTGACTGGAGCTCCCTGACTGGAGCTCACTGACTGGAGCTCCCTGACTGGAGCTCACTGACTGGAGCTCCCTGACTGGAGCTCACTGACTGGAGCTCACTGACTGGAGCTCACTGACTGGAGCTCACTGACTGGAGCTCACTGACTGGAGCTCACTGACTGGAGCTCACTGACTGGAGCTCACTGACTGGAGCTCACTGACTGGAGCTCCCTGACTGGAGCTCACTGACTGGAGCTCCCTGACTGGAGCTCACTGACTGGAGCTCACTGACTGGAGCTCACTGACTGGAGCTCCCTGACTGGAGCTCACTGACTGGAGCTCACTGACTGGAGCTCCCTGACTGGAGCTCACTGACTGGAGCTCACTGACTGGAGCTCACTGACTGGAGCTCCCTGACTGGAGCTCACTGACTGGAGCTCCCTGACTGGAGCTCACTGACTGGAGCTCCCTGACTGGAGCTCACTGACTGGAGCTCACTGACTGGAGCTCACTGACTGGAGCTCACTGACTGGAGCTCACTGACTGGAGCTCACTGACTGGAGCTCACTGACTGGAGCTCACTGACTGGAGCTCACTGACTGGAGCTCACTGACTGGAGCTCACTGACTGGAGCTCACTGACTGGAGCTCCCTGACTGGAGCTCACTGACTGGAGCTCACTGACTGGAGCTCCCTGACTGGAGCTCACTGACTGGAGCTCACTGACTGGAGCTCACTGACTGGAGCTCCCTGACTGGAGCTCACTGACTGGAGCTCCCTGACTGGAGCTCACTGACTGGAGCTCCCTGACTGGAGCTCACTGACTGGAGCTCACTGACTGGAGCTCACTGACTGGAGCTCACTGACTGGAGCTCACTGACTGGAGCTCACTGACTGGAGCTCACTGACTGGAGCTCCCTGACTGGAGCTCACTGACTGGAGCTCACTGACTGGAGCTCACTGACTGGAGCTCACTGACTGGAGCTCACTGACTGGAGCTCACTGACTGGAGCTCACTGACTGGAGCTCACTGACTGGAGCTCCCTGACTGGAGCTCCCTGACTGGAGCTCACTGACTGGAGCTCACTGACTGGAGCTCACTGACTGGAGCTCCCTGACTGGAGCTCACTGACTGGAGCTCACTGACTGGAGCTCCCTGACTGGAGCTCACTGACTGGAGCTCACTGACTGGAGCTCCCTGACTGGAGCTCACTGACTGGAGCTCCCTGACTGGAGCTCACTGACTGGAGCTCACTGACTGGAGCTCACTGACTGGAGCTCACTGACTGGAGCTCACTGACTGGAGCTCCCTGACTGGAGCTCCCTGACTGGAGCTCCCTGACTGGAGCTCACTGACTGGAGCTCACTGACTGGAGCTCACTGACTGGAGCTCACTGACTGGAGCTCCCTGACTGGAGCTCCCTGACTGGAGCTCCCTGACTGGAGCTCACTGACTGGAGCTCACTGACTGGAGCTCACTGACTGGAGCTCACTGACTGGAGCTCCCTGACTGGAGCTCCCTGACTGGAGCTCCCTGACTGGAGCTCACTGACTGGAGCTCACTGACTGGAGCTCCCTGACTGGAGCTCACTGACTGGAGCTCACTGACTGGAGCTCACTGACTGGAGCTCCCTGACTGGAGCTCCCTGACTGGAGCTCACTGACTGGAGCTCACTGACTGGAGCTCACTGACTGGAGCTCCCTGACTGGAGCTCCCTGACTGGAGCTCCCTGACTGGAGCTCACTGACTGGAGCTCACTGACTGGAGCTCACTGACTGGAGCTCACTGACTGGAGCTCACTGACTGGAGCTCCCTGACTGGAGCTCCCTGACTGGAGCTCACTGACTGGAGCTCACTGACTGGAGCTCACTGACTGGAGCTCACTGACTGGAGCTCACTGACTGGAGCTCCCTGACTGGAGCTCCCTGACTGGAGCTCCCTGACTGGAGCTCACTGACTGGAGCTCACTGACTGGAGCTCACTGACTGGAGCTCACTGACTGGAGCTCCCTGA